GCATAGAAGTGCATATCTGTAATCCCAGTGATTCAAGAGAGAGAGGCAGAAGAATCGCAACTTGAGGCGAGGATAAGCAACTTAGGTAAGTCCTAAGCATCTTAGTAAAACCATCTCCAAATTTAAAAAAAAAATTAAATAAAGGGCTAGTTATGTTGCTCAGTGATAAAGCACACTTGAGTTCAACCCTAGTACAAAAAAAAAAAAAAAAACACCATTTATTGTGCACTGGCTATGTGCCAGGAATTATGCTATAATTTTATGAAATTATCTCATGTAATTATCACAGCCTAAAGAAGATGTTTTTCACACTTTATGGGCAAGGAAATAGATTGAGAGAAGTTTCCCAAAGTCAAAAAGTAAGTAGCAGAACCAGGGCTCAATGCAGGTGTAACTTCAAAGTTCATGTTCTTAAGTACCACGTTAGACAATATCCAGGAGACCTGACCCACCATAATTCACTTCACAAGCAAAAAAAACTTGGCCATAGTCATCAGCAAAAGAGTAGTCTCTGAAGAATTTTTGAAAATAGAGAACTTAATGAAGACAACAGGGGAACTTAAGAAATGCAATTGGCCTACACTAAAGACACAAGGGTCTTAATCCTTAGGCTCATCACTAACTGGAGCCATAAGTGAGTCACTTAGGCTTTCCAAATGTCTGCATTTCATCAGAAGTAGACCAAGAGATTCTAAAATGTTTTTCAGTTACGATTCTGATAGTCTTGTTTTAGGTCTTTACATGTTTGATTTTCCTACCAGTTGACAAGATTGAAGACAAGGATCCACTCATATTTTATCTTTGTCCTCCATAGTGCCTAACAGTGCTCTGGATACAGCAACTCTTAATTAAAATTTTATAAAACCAGGGGGAGTGGAATTCTTTACATACTGAGTTCAGACATCAAAGTAATTTATTTTAATGATCTTCTGTCTCATAAATATATAAGAAATCCTTGCATTGTCTTTATTTTAAATCCATCTGAACAATAAAGCCATTTCTAGGTTAACCTCTCCCAAATCCAGTAAAATATTTACAGATTATACAAAAACATAATGAACCATAAATATTTCCCATTTTTAAAAAAAGCACACATAAAATTATGATTATATCTTTGCTAAAATATCTACATAGGTAGCTTTTTTTCTTTCAATCCTTCCATAGTATTTCATATTTTCTAAAGTAAGTATTCCTTTTTTTAAAAAAAAAAAAAAATGTGGGATTTTTACATTAAACTTTAGCCTGTATTGAATCTTTCCTTTGGATTTAACCTTATTTTTCACCCTACCTATCTCTAGAACAAAGACCAGCTATTACACAATTACTTGAATTAAAGGTATCTTTTGAATCCAACCCCAAAAGAGGTCCAATTAATTCATTTCCCCTCACCTTGGTGGGATAGACAGAACTGGATGGAAAGGCCACCAGGGTGGTAAGATCAGAATAACGTCGCTCTAGGGTCTTCTTGGTAGCAGGACAGTAGTGGACACTACGAACAACTTTGGGACGAACTAGAGAACCTAGAGATGGAAAACATGCATATAAAGTCAACCAGTTACACACTGATAGGGGTGGGCTCCAAATCCATGCAAGCCTATGATGACTCCTAATGCTGTGTTTTCCTGAATGGTTAAGCTATTTCAATACTACTTGTTGTTATTGTTTTATATATGTATATATAACACATCACCATGTCCGTGAAAAATTTTAAGTGCCAGCGATCCCGACCAAGAACTACAAGAATTCGTGGCTGAACTGAGAATGTCAAGAGCTAAGACTCCTCTAGTTCTCAGCAGAATTAATCAATTGTGCCAGCTCATGTCACCACTAAAAGTCCCCCTAATCACTGTGCACAAACTGAGCTCCTCCAAGTTTTACTACATAATTTCAATGCTCCACTTCTCTGAAATTAGAAGCTATCTTGCCTCTCCTGCTTTCCTGGCCTTCCTCAGTCTATGCCACCTCCATTCCTGGGTGCCTCCCTTTAGCCCACTCACATTTAGTGACGATGCCTTCCACACAGACTACACAGCTGAGGAAGCATGAAGTTAGAGTCCGGGGAGAAACATGCTTAGAGCCAAAGCTGCCCTCCAGTCCTATGTAGAATTCCTCATACTGCTTGGCATAGGTAGCATCAATAGAAGCCACAAAATCCTTTAAAGCCCGCTGGAAAGCAACCAGTTCCTCAAAGGCATTGCTTAGGAGGCTGAAAATGGGCAAGAGAAAAAATAATTAGGCAGAGCATGCAGAACTGGGGAGGGGGTGGGGGGGTAGGCTGACCCTCAAAACAGAAGTAAACATTCTTAAATAATTATGGTCAAGGAGAAAATTCAGCTCCTACTTTCTTCTTCCACCTTATGAAGATTTAGCAAGGATTCACTTTAATTCAAATTATCAGAGATTTTTAAATTTTATTCAGCTAATCATTGGAAGGAGGGACACTTGAAAAGAAAATGCTCACCACCTCCTTTTGAAAGTAAACAACATAGGTACAAGAGAAGCAATGAAGGCTTGTAGTCAATCCCATGTTACCCAGCCCTTTCCTAGGAAGCCTGTTACAATCTGGGCAAGAGAGATGGAGTCATTCTCACTCTGAGCCAGGAAATCCCCCCAGAAACCTCTGCCACTCACCGGTTAGCCCTCTTTTCATTTTTCCTGCGCAGGTCATTCACATTGACAATCAGCCGGTATTGGTTGTCACTGATTAGTTCCCGAACTTTGCTCTGATAGATTCCCTGATCTTCCTGCAGATTCAAATTCAAACGAACAGATTCAAAACTTTATGTTTCTAAAAAGAGGCAGTTCTGGGCTGAGGTTGGGGCTCAGGGGTAAAGCACTCACCTAGCACATGTGAGGCACTGGGTTTGATCCTCAGTACTACATAAAATTAAATAAAATAAAGGTATTGTGTCTATCTAGAACTAAAAATATTAAAAAAAAAAAAAAAAAAGAAGCAGTTCTCCACAGCAAGAAGAAGAAGAAGTAGTAGTAGTAGTAGTAGTTGTTGTTGCTGCTGTTGTTCTCCACAGCAAAATGATAACTCAATCTTTGCAGAGGAGCTGAATCCCAAGTACATGTTCATCAATTTCTCCTTTTCATTCACTAACACCAAACTAAAAGCTTGTTACCCTACTGGGGACACTATAAGAATGATAAAAAAAAAAAAAAAAAAGCCAGGCATAATGGCAAACTATTCAGGAGGATGAGGCATGAAAATCCCAAATTCAAGGACAGCCTCAGTAACTTAGCAATGCCCTAAGCAACTAAGAGATCTTCTCGAAAAAAATAAAAAGGGCTGAGGACGTGCTCAGCATTTAAGTGTCCCTGTTTTCAATCCCCAGTACACAAAAAGTAATAATGACTTCCTTATTTCCATTATCACGAACAGCTCTTCTATATGCTGTCATTTCTTTGGGGGAATTAAAATAAGTTCATAGGAAATCTGAAAAGGCCAGTATTAAAAGCCTTGCTAAAAAATGGAAATTTAAGCTTGTTAGGTCCCTAGGCCAAAATAAACTACATTTTGAAAATCAGCATCTGCCCACCCAGGCATGACATTCCAGTTAGGCCCACCTTGAAAAAGTCCCTAACCACCCAAACCACAGTAACAATCACAGGACCAGGCGGGCTATTTTTTTTTAACTACTGCATTGTGCATGACTATATACTTAAGAAATTTTCCAGCAGGCTGCTGCACCTTGCAGAAAGGCAGCCTGGTAGATATTCTCTGTCAATAAACCTTTGCTTGAACTCAGAGATGTATCTCTCTGTGCATATTTGTGCCAACTACCCTAACAATGCTAACTCGCTTGACCTGTAGTAAGCATTCCACTCCATGTATCAAAACATGTCGTACACCTTAAACACCTACAATGAAAGTGTAAATTAAATGGACTCTTTAAAAATTTCTCATTTAAATTGCTTTTAATTTATCATCAGACTTTCAACGTGCTTTATCAACATTCAATAGCTTTAAATTAAGTTGCACACAAGAACCCCCTTGTTGCAATGTTTTGAATACAAGACACTTTTATCTGCATCTTATTTGGTATGGAAGAAAGCAGCCAAATTAGGAAGTTTTTTTTTTTTCCTTTACTACAATCTGAGCACCCTACCACTCGGCGGGCAGGTCACTACTGTCCTACAGCAGTCGCTCCCCATTTCCCTACCCCCACTCCCAATGAAGATCAAGCCTAATCCCTAAAAGACCGGGGCGAGCTTTGCCATTTTGTTTGCACTTGCTGGTAATCTGTTGCCTTTCGCGCGTGGGGCCGTCACTTGTAAGGCTTGTAGGGGCAAGTTACAGGATCACCAAGAGGGCACCTATAGAACACTCACTAGCGATTCCGGGAACCGCGAAAGAAGTTACAAGATCGCGCTGAGAGGCTCTAGTGCCGATCCGCCAGCTCAGCCGCTGCACACAAGCTGCAGATGTGGACAACCTCTAGTTCCCCCGCACCGATGCTGCTCGGACTAGGAGCTGCAACCCACGAGGCCTCCCTGCGGAAGCAAGGGCACCAAGCGCCGGAGCCGGATCCCGGCGACCCCCTCACCTCGTCATCCAAGAAGTCCAGGTAATCTCGCTGAGCCTCCCGGAGCTCCACATCGTCCAGGACCACGGTCCCTGCCATGCCTGCTGCCTCGGAACTGCCTCTTACTAAGCCGCGAGGAGACCCCCACGGATGAGCTCCACTCCGACGCAAAAACTTCCGAACTTTTCCCGCCACAAAGCCTTCCTGGAGGAAAAGGCGGGACTCAAGGAGTAGATACACTTTATGATTGGCTGTCCCTCCAACGCCAAATTGCTAGCATCCAATCGAGACGCTGTTTTTCCGGGGTTTCCGCCTGGCGTCTTGAGGTGGCGGGAAATATGCCTTCCGGGGTCCTACGTTGCTCCCCTCCCCACTCCGCCCCTTCGGACAGGAAGGCTGACAAATGGGGTAGAGAAGAAGTGAGCGGACCCTGCTCATTGGGCCGCTGCAAGGAAGAGCTCTAAGAGACTGGGAAAGCTCTGCGTTCTGGGAGTTGTAGTCCTCTCCTTTTTCCGGCTCTTAGTACAGAGGTTTTCTCTTTTTTTCAAGCTGCAATTTGGCTTGCAGCAGTGTCCAACTTAATCCGGCAGTGGGACTTTTCTTAAAAGCAAACTAAACAAAAGAGAATGGAGGTTTATAACGCAGGGAGATGAAAACATAAAAGTAAATGGTTTTTAGAATGTATCCAAATCATAACTGCCCTCAAGGGCATGGCGGGGGGAGTTGATTTTGAGAATCTTTGGGATGGAAACTAGAATCAGCATCTTAAGGAAAAGTTTATTTAATGCAGGACCCATTTGCTATCTGAATAGCGTTGCTTGAAGTATCTTATAAAAATAGCAGGGCACGAAGATTGTGAAGATACACCTGCAAAAAATAGAGACCTCTTTGTGTATTCTTATACAGAATTCTGAACAGGATTACCACGCTATCTTACTTGCAAACCGGTAAGTTAAAGGCTTTCTCACCTTATAAAAAGATCACTGGATCCTTTTAAATAACTGTTGTGAGCGAGCTATGGTGATAACAGACCAAACACTAGTGTGTTTTTCCACAATGTCAGAATTTTTGAATAACAATAAATTCCAGGTTATACCACTTTCATCGGTGGCAGTTCATCGAATACTTGTAGGTCACCTTATAGTCATAATCCAGGCAATCCCAAATTCTTTTATTCCAATCTTAAAAGGTTAAGAAAGGGTTAAGGCAACCACAGGGGTTGGGGAGGCTGAAGTGAGAGCAAAGGCGGAGAGCAGATAAAAATGCAGTCATTGTAGGCGTTCAGATAAGATTAGAACCAGCCAAAGAACTTGTTCAGGGTCGCAGAACTGTCAAGGGGCAGGAACTTATCGGCCAAGGTCTGGACAGAAGGCAGTCTCAGAATGTCAGCTTGGAATGGGGTGTGTGGTCTCTGCTGAAGCCGAGGACAGAGAAGATACTCACTGTGGCAATTTTCCTGGGCAAGACTCATGAGGAGTGACCAGGTGATGGGGTCAGGGATTCACTGTAGCCGGGCTCAGGTTGCTCTTCCTTTTCTGGGCCTGCGTGAGGAGGTTGCTTTATTTGATGGTTTGGTGTGTTCCATAAGCTCATGAGTCTGAAGTTTTAGATTTGAGTTTGATAAACCAGTGCATCCATGTGCTTCCGATTAATTTTATAAGTTCACAGATGTTCATTTTTTTAGCACAATTAATTTGTTTGACAGTTTGTGCTTTGGGTTGTGCTTGGCAGAGGGTGGTTGTTTACTTTGTATAAACAAGATATAGAGTCATTCCACCTCAGCACTTAAAATGGAGTAGCTCATAGCACATTGCTTTATAAAGTAGAGTAACTTAGGCATAGTCTGAGAACTACTGTTCTATATACATCATAGAGTAACTCAGAGCAGGATACCATCCTGCTCTCCACAGAAACTTACTTTACCAAAAATTGAACACCAGGGGGAAAAGGTGTTTCATGATACCATTGATTAAATATCAATTAGTAATTAAGATACTGTACAACAAGTCTGAAATTACAATTTTTAAAATATCAATTGCATATCCAAGTTTTTTGTTCATTTTAGTTATTTGAGTATTTTTTTGTATTTTTTAATTTTATTTTTGTGGTACAATTTGTATGCAGTAAAATGCCCATGTCTTAAGTGTTTATAGCTCAATTAATTTTTACCTAAGTACATCCCCATGTAATCACTCAGTACACAATAAAGAACCTACCCATTGCCCCAGCATATATTTTTAATTTTACTGAACAGTAAGCTAAAAGACCAGATTGTTTAATAAAAAAATATTTGGTAACTCTGTAGCTGAAATTTCCATCAACTGATTATTAACTTATGTTTGAAGGAGTCCAGGACTATGCGCTGATAAATATCTTAAATATAATCTGCCTAAGCAAAATGTACATGCCATTTATTTGTATGTGTATATGTATTTCTAATTATCATTATTCAATTTATAGTTACTAAATGTTTTGTGCCATTGTGGTAGGCAGATAAATTGATCCTTAGTCAAAGAAAAAAGGATGTCTCTTGACTGCTTGTTTTTGTATACAATATTGTACAATAAAAGACAAATTAAAAGAAAAAAATTTAGAACAAGGATCCTGTTTGCAATTATTTACTGAGATAATTACTTATTAACCTAAGAATATTTTTATCACTTGATGCTAACTCTCATTTTATGAATATATTGGATGCAATACTGATAATAATCTCTGCTCTAGAAACAACTTGAAATTAACACTAGAACCAGAAAACCTAGTTCAAATTAGCACAGGAATTAAGTCATTTGCAGTGAAAAGTCCAAAGGAGTGACAGTTTGGTAACCACATATCTTTGATTCTAACATACTTTTTTTCCCCCTAGGCTTCAGTTTCTTCATACAGAAGATGAGGAAATTAAATTAGAAAATCTCTAGTATATCAGTTCCACTCTAACATTTTCATTAAGTCTATGGCTTAATGTGTAAAGACAAATTCCATTTAATGAATTATGCCATGGTCCTTGATAAAAACTTGATCATCTTCAACCATGAAGGACACATAGATATTTTAATTGGTATTTCTCCCTGTTTTCATGATGATATGAAATCATTAATCAGAGAAATTATGTTTCCTTGATTATCTCCCACTCTTTCAAACTGCCCAGAGAAAACCACTGGATTGTTATTAAAAATTAGGGACATTTGTACATATTTCATTTAAAGTCCACGTAAGCTTAACCAGTATCCCTCCCCCTCTACTCCTGACTTAAAACGAAGAAGCACACATTATTTAATGAAGTAATGTATCTATGGTTTCTATATTTGCTCAAATTCTTGCTTTCTTCCTTGTTTTCTTTCTACCTTAGAGCTTGATGGACTTATCTTAATTACCAAGGCTGAATAAACACTAGGGGGCTCCCTGGAGTGCAGAATGTGCAAGAAAACTGCGGAATACAGATTACAAATTATGTATAATACTTCCATTTTTCCTTGTCCTCAGGGACCAAAAAGTACTCAATGTCACAATAAAAAAACATAATAAACATTACTGATATTTCCTAAATGACATATGTGCATATGTGTATTTGTGTGTGTGTCTCTGTGTATGTATATATATATATATTTTTTTTCCCTAAACCAGTGAGCAACTTTTTATGTTGAAAAATATCTTAAACAATACCCTATAGTTAATAACTTGTTTTAGGCCCTCAGGAAATTCATTATCAGTTCTTCAACACAAGTTTATAAGCCACAAAAGCATAGAGGTTAGAAAAATCTGTTTCCAGGTGCTAGAGAAGCTTAAGGAATAATCTGAAGGTGCAGGCTTGTCCCAGCCAAGTAGATTTGTTCTCTTCTATGGTATGGACTGGTAAGAAACTTCTCCAGGTGTCATAGGTAGGGTTTCAAGCACCAAGACAGAGGTAAAGTTAGTCACTTCCTGGCTTCTCAGCTGGCAGTTTACTTAACCACTCTCTACTTCAGTTCCTTCTTCCAAATTAGGCTGTATGTAATATGTAGCTCAAAGAATGATTCATTGTAGTGATAAGGGATATAAAATATTGAGAAAAATGCCCGGTATGTAGTAAGCATTAATGTTAGCGAACAGTACTGGTGATGGTATTGGTGGTTGAAGAGGGGTCAAGAGATGGGGAGAGAATGGTGCCACAGCACCCTGATGCATTCTGGAACAATTCAGACAACCAAATTCAAGCTCCCTTCCCACTCCTACCAAAATCTTCCAATAGAATCAATCACTTCCTAAATAAGACCTTGTCTACTGGAAATCCAGTTGGCTAAATGAGTAACACAGAGACAGGGTATTATTTGACTCCAATTCTACCAGTGTTGAAAGCCATCAGGCACATTTGTCCCATGTTTAAGGAATATTATGAAATATCAAATGGTCCCTGGAATCAATCAGTGTGTCTTCTGAAAGAGTCTGCTGGCCTGTCTTTTATCTCTCATATTCCCCCGTCTTTTATTCCTGTAGTCCTTCAGGTTAGAAATATTAAAAGAGCAGGAAGGTCTAGGATCCAGGGAGCATCATGATCCTGATTTTACCATTGAATTTGACAACACAGTTGGCCTGCCAACAATTTGTGATTCATGGTCATTTGCCAAGGTTAATTTCAGCAGTCTGATTTCTTAATCCCTGAGAAGTCATCTCCGTTCTTCATGACACAAATCTTTACTGAGAATCTGTTTGAAGAGCTTTGCCTCAATGCTTAGAGGCACAGATTGCAGAAGGTAATTAATTGTCAAAAACTAATTGATTGAATATAAAATGGCATGTGAGATTCCCTAATAATAACTCCATTTGATAAATGTGCCTGGATTTGTTATAATTGTGCATTTTATTTATTTATTTACTGGTATTACAGATTGAACCCAAGGGAACTCTACCACTAAACTACATCTCCCGTCCTTTTTATTTTTTATATTGTGAAGGGTCTTGCTAAATTGCCAAGACTGGCTTCAAATTTGCAATCCTCCTATCTCAGCTTCCTGAATCTCTGGAATTAAAGGAATGTGCCACTGCTGAGGCTCTAAGTGGGTATTTTAAAAGACATAGACTGTTAATATTACAAAACAATGAAGATACTTAATTATATCAACAAAACAAATATTATCTGAACATGTGTTTATCTAATTCTGTCCTGGACAGAAGATTTCAGATCAATGTTGCTGAACAGAAAAAGAATGCATTATACATTTTAAGTTTTTGAGCAGTACTTGAATAAAAGGTTTTTTATTTTAAAAAGTAAAACGAAACTGGTGAAATTAATTCAATGATATCTTTAATTTAACCCAATATAGCTAAAATATTACCATTTCAAACTGTAATCAATATAAAATGCTTTAATGAGATATATTACTTTTTGTCTTGACTTTAAAATCCAGTTTTAAAAATCTCAATTCAAACTAGCCACATTTGCCTACTGGCTTCCACATTGGACCAAACAGCTTTAGAGGATAAAATCTATCTCTTGAAAGATAAGAGCTTGAAATAAGAGCAGCCATTCATTGAGCATGCACTATGTACTAGACACTGTGCTAAGCACTTTATCATATAGTCTTATTGAATTTTAACCACACCTTGGAAGATTGTTATTTTTAATCCTCATTTTACGTTGAAAAGATTGAAGCCTAAAAGATCCCAGATTTCCTCACCAATAAGGGATAGAGGCAGGGATAGGATGTGAGTCTATGTGGCTATATCAAATACTATTTAAGACCAAATGAGTATGTTCAGATCCAAATGCAGAATTTGGCTCATAAGATTCAGTTCTAGTTACTTAAATATTAAGTAAACAAATATTTTATATCTTAAAATACCTTAATTAATAAAAAACATGTTATAGATCTGGTATAAAATATCATTTGCAGTGATAAATAGTAGGTAAAATTTACCCTGAAGTAATAAGGAAAGGTTAAAAAAATCAGCCCTCCATATTCATAGGCTCTGTGTCTGTGTATTCAACTTATCCCAGATTAGAAAAAATATTACGTATTGTGTCTATGCTATATGAACTCTTTCTTGTCATTATTCCCTAAACAAAATATAGCATTTACATTTACATGACATAGTATTTACATAGCATTATTTGGGCATTATAAATAGTCTACAGATTAATTTAAAGTATGCACAGGCTCTATGCCATTATATATATATATAACTTAAGCTTCCAAAGGTGTGGGTGTATGCAGCTGGAACCAATCCTCCTTGGATACTGAGGGATCAAAAAGTGGGCAGTGTTGCCTCTGGAGAGATGCAGTAATAACATTCTTTGTAGTCATAGCAAAACACTTGAGAGATACCAAAAACCATAGAATGAAGGGCTGGGGGAAAAGGTAGGGTAGGATTGGAAGCAATCAGGTACATCAGATCTGACTCTACAGGACACTGACCAACAGAGTAGGTAGACTGTGCTTGACATAGTGGGCAAAAGGGAGCCAGGGTTGACTTTGGAGCAAAGGATAGACGGTATCAAAGTTGTACTTCAGGAAGAGGGATCTGGCCAAAGCATGTGTAGAATGGATTATTTTAATCACATAAAAAGAAACAAGGCCAGAAAGGGGTGTTCAAAGAGAACTCAGGGAAAAAAAATGAGGGTGACACATTTCAGGTGGAAAACTGCCAAAATTGAAAGCTATGTATTTGGATAGAAGAAGGAATGAAGGAAAGGGTAGGGTAAAAATTAGACACACTGCCTCCAGGGCTTACAGAAAGCATACAGAGTTTAATGGTCTTTACTTAGATCTTTATTTGGAATGAAAAATTGTTTTGCAGTTAAGACAAAAAGGAAAAGAAACTGAAAGACAACCAAATCTCCCAAAACAGCAGCAGTAAAGAGAGGAATACAACCTTGACATTTAGTCTCAAAACTTTGTCTAGGACATTTTTGGAAAGGAAAGAAAATTATATTTTGTTGAACAAAATACAAATAAATTAGACTTAAAAAGGCAAAATATATGTAAATCATACCAAAATCAGGTTTATGCTAAAACTCTAAGCAAAAATAGTAAATCAACTCATAAAACTTAAAAAAAAAAAAAAAGACTCATGATTGCAGCTAGAGAGATACAGGGTGGAGAGCCAGTGCCACTTCAAAGTAAGTTGAATATTAATTTTAATTAGATCCATACCATTTGCCTGAGAATTTACAGTTCCTGTCCTCCACATTCACAATCAGCTTTATAGAAGCCAGAGTTTAAGATGAATGAATCTTGCTACATCCTCTACTCTGAACATTTGACAAAATAGGAGTAGAAAAATATGTGCAAAGTACTGCACTTCCCCCTCCCCACTAGAGTGCCTACCCAGAGTTCTCCTCCAGCATCTTATTACATTCTTCCAACTCGGTTGTGGGAATCTTAAGATAAAAAGCAATACAAGCCTTCATTATATTTCCAATCCTCCAATATTTTGTTAATTTTAGAGAAGGTAGAAAAACCATTGGCATTCTAATATTTTATGGGACATAAGGATCCAAACAAAGATCTCTGTCTGAGAAGCTGATAGGTTTCATATTCACCACTTTCCTAGTTTTTCGATGGATTCTTTGATGAGCCTCCAAAAAATGTCTCTGATCTGAAACCAAACCTGATGGAAAATTTTCCTGGCCTGTGTCCATCTGGTTAGCCACCTGTTTCTCCCTATAGCTAATTCAGCAAGGGGATCTGATAAAGCCAGAGGTATTGGCTCACAGCCTTAAAGGTCTGGATAAGATAGCTTTTAAAATAATCATTCTTTACACACTGTCATACACCAATGACATCCTCATTACTTAGAAATACAAAGTACAAATGTCTATTAAAAAAATCCATGAATATCATGCTACATACTAGAATTTCAGAGCTAGAAATCACCCTACTAACCATTTAGTCTAAAGCCTCATTTCATAATTTAGACAACTGAGATTCAGAAAAATTTGGATATAGTCTAAGTTCAACATTATTTAAAACAAAAAGGCTTTTTTTGAGTGTGTGTGTGTATTGGGCATTCAACTCAGGGGCAATCAACCACTGAGCCACATCCCCAGCCCTGTTTTGGGTTTTATTAGAGACAGGGTCTCACAAGTTGCTTAGCACCTCCATTTTGCTGAGGCTGACTTTGAACTCACTAGCCTCCTGCTTCAGCCTCCCCAGCTGCTAGATTACAGATGTGCACCACCGTGCCTGGCAAAGAGGTTTGTTTTTTTGTTTTTTTTTTTTTAAGGTGGAGAAATAATAAAGAACAAGACTCTGAAAGAGATGTAGATTTGAGCAAATCAAACTTTTAGAACTGAGAAATATAGTTATTGAAATAATAAATTAATAACCTAGTTAAAAGCAGAGTAGACACTTTTAATGATGATCGTTAACAAGAAAATAGAAACTAGATGGAAATAACTAGCAATGTCTAATAGTTATTCCTTCAGTGATGAATAAGTTCTAATATCTGCTCTGTCCAATATGGTAGCCAGAAGCACATGTGGCTATTAAGCATATGAAATGTGGCTGTTTGAATAAGAACATTTTAAAATTTTTCTTTAACATCAATTAATTTAAATTTAAATGGCCACC